TTGGTGTTTAAAAGCTAATTGCAGTCTAAGCTTTATTCTTCAGAGTAAAGCAAGTCTATTTTATTTTATATGTATAATTGAACTAAAATTTCTAAGTAATGATTAACAAAATTTTCAGAAAAGTTTTCTCTGAAGATTTGCAGTAGTTAAAATTAATATACAAGAGGGGTTTTGATTTACCAGATGGTTTAGAACTGTCTGTATTTAAATAGTCCTCAAATGTTAAAGATCGTTTCATGTAAAAGTCATCATTTTATTACAAAACAGGCTCTAACTTAGAATCAATCAAAATTATTGTTGTTAGATACACATAAGTTTTGGAAAAATTAGTTAGTTTATATTGTGAATAATTTAAGTAAAAAAATGTTTTTAAGAATCAAGGTCCAATATTTACTTTAAAAGGTTTGGTTTGGTTAATCTTGTTTTTGGCTTCAGACCTATTCCTTTTGCTATAAAATTGATATTAATTAATTGGCTGTATTTATATTTTTGGGGTAAAACATGTAATTACCAATAGAAAAAATACTACCTAAAAGATGCCTTTTGACTTTTTAGGTGTTAGATAAACCTCATAACACTTCAGACCTGGACGACTTTTTTTCCATAATGCAAGAATACTTAAAGGTGCTATACTTTGACTTTTCCGGGTGTCATAAATATAGTGTATTAGTGTAAAGTCTATATTCCCCCTTTTTTATATATTGAAGATTTGCATCTCTATTATTATAATTAAAGTGTGATTCAAGTAACATATTTAGGTGTCTGTTTATAGGATACAATAAGATTATTTAAGTGAAAAGATTCTGGACATGGAAAAGAGGAAAATCAGTTTTTGAAACGGAAGAGAACCTTGAAAGAAATGAAACATATCTTAGAATGAAAAAAGGGAGAAGAAAGTAAACTGAATTGCTAAATATTATTTAGACCAAAGAAGGTCACTTTTTAAGATTTAAACATTTTTCTCTCCAAAAGGGGCTACTACTTATCAAATCCAGAAACAAGCCCAAGAATATGTTAATTAAGTGCATTGTGTCCCAGTAAGAATGAGGTTGACAAATTCATTTTTTTATTCCTTCAATTAATAAACTTTGTCTAGTATATCTCAGATTTTAAACATCTATAATGTGTATATTTACCTCTTGAAATTGTACAGTAACAGTGCCAAGGACCAACATGACCCCATAGGGTGAATCTTATGAAGCTTAACATTCCTGGTGAATTACACACACAAACCTCGGATCACTTTTTGTCAGTCTTACTTTACAGCGGCGCTTGAGAACCAGAATGTAGGTAATTTTTACATGGTGACTTTATGCCAATTAAAAAAGCAATGATCATTGGTGCAAGCAGAAGTGGAAAATATAATGACATAAAATTAAAGAAAGGTATCACAAAGACGGACCAGGAAGGCTACATGCCCCTCTCCATCCCCACCCCCATTCATGCCCTTTTTCCGCCCATTTGTTGTTTTTCTCACAAGTATACCATGACTTCCAACAAATTGTTTCACTTTAAATAAAACAAAAAATATCTGAATCAGTAAAAGACGTAAAAAGATTCACCTTCTACTATCAACTATACGACAGATAAGCTTGTAAAGCTATTCTAAATATTCAAAAGCTTACAAATAAAAAATGTAAATCGATGGGGGGAACTATGGGAGGATAAGTGTGGAACGAATGAATACATTGAAAATACTTGATTTTCAACACCGATTTTTTTTTTCTGCTCAACCTTTCTATAGTTACGCCTCAAATAATTTCTTACATAGGAATTTCTCCCTATACCTCAAAATAACTGAATGATTTCCATGAAGAAATTCAAGTTTAGAAAGAAGACCCGCAAAATGAAAGTGTTAGAATGCAAACAACTTCTATAGCATTTCAAATGCAAAATCACAACCATCACTACCTTTAACTGACTCTTAAGGGGTCTTTCCAAACAGATGCTATTTATGAACATCGTATGTTAACTTCTTTCTTGTAATTCAAAACTCTTGTCAAATGATGTTTTCATGATGACGTGTAAATATAATATTCCATTAGAGATCAATTCTAATTGGTTTTTTAAAATCCACCTTGGGAAACAGTCCTGCATAATACACAGACCAGTAATGAGTATTTTAGAAGGAATTTCCGCGAAGTCTATTATAAATCTAAGTCGAAATTACTCTCTGGCCTTAGTAAGGTTTGGACCACAGGATTGCAATGATTTCTTCATGAGCTTTCACGCACGAAGACTTTGATCTTGTCGACAAGACTCGCAAGCACTTGTTGGAAATCTTCATCTTTTTAAAAAACTGTGACGTTTGCCAGAAATACTTTCTCCACACGCCTCACAAAGAAAACAGCCAGAGTTTCGTAGGTGGGTTGCAATTATTTGTTCCCCAAGCATGGTTTAAACGCAAACTAAACGTGTTTCCCTTTTGAAATTCACTGTTATTTTGAAAATGCATTTCACGTTAAGGAAGCAAGCCCGTGTGTGCACAGGAGTAGCTCAGCCCCCCCTTTTAAAACTAGACTTCTTGCGTACAAAGAGCGGAGTATTAACAAATAGGGGCCGCGAAACGTGCTTTTCCAAACGCCTTTGAACCCTGACATTGATTGTCGAACCCACACGTTTAAAGGTATTTCATATGTTACAGAATCTGCTCTAACTTTCCAGATCCAGAATAAAAATTGCTCACGTTTGTCTCATCTAGTTATCACTTTATAAACATATCTACGCTGCTCTCCCGTTTCTTTCAACGTGCGAGCTGCAGGCTTGCCCAGCTTCCTTCCGTGTAGTGGCACGTCGTCAAGGCTCCTGCCTACGAGGGCTTTAGCCGGGAACCCCTCGCGGGCCGAGCCAGATCACAAAACTTGC